TTTTCATATACATTTCGACTACATTTTTAAACTCTTAGAGAAAGGGATCGAAATAAACCAAACACTTGCACAATAGCAACCATGAATAATTGTTCGATTGTGAGAGTAACCTTAATATCCAAGGAATCCTAGGATCAATCTAGTCGATCCTGTGAGTTACCAGAGAGATTGAATAGCGTTAACAAAGATTATTCGATAGTTTGGAAGACTAGCGGTTGTTTACCAGAAATCACTGGAAACAGGTAGATGCTAGTAGGTACTTGCTCAAAATCAAACTTTCACACTTACACTTTTTTTTCAAACAAAGTTTCAAAAACACTTCGTAACACTCTTGAAGACTGAAGCAAGGGTTAAAACGAAGTAAAACAAAACTTTTCAAAACAAACACACACAAGAAATTTTTAAAATGATGAGCAAGTACCTAAGAGCCCGTGGAAAACCACGGATAGAAAGGGTGCTAATACCTTCCCTTTCTATAATCTACCCCCCATACTCAAAATCTCGAAAAAGGAATTTTTCTGTGCTCTTTTCCTTTCCAGTTGGATAAAATAAAAGTCGGTGACGACTCTTGCTTACCGCGACATTTTGCGAACACAAACGCAAAACGCAAACCAGCATTTTCCTAAAACAGTCTGGTTCTGCGACCTTATTACAGTCATCAACACATAGACACACCAGAATCATATTGCCACCAGAATGCTGCACATACACGCCATATTCCATCTCACATTTCTGAAACTTGTGCCTCTTGAAAAACGAATCAATTTTCAGATCTCAAGCTCTGGGAGCTTGTTTCAATCCATATAAGGCTTTATGTAACTTGTATACCATCCCTTCTTGATTCTTTTTCACAAATACAGGAGGCTGTGACATATGTACCTCTTCTTGTAATGGACCATTCAGAAATGTAGACTTCACATACAGATGTATCAAAGGCCAATTTATGTTTGCAGCTAAAGCAATCACTAGTATAATTGTTTCATGTCTAGTTACAGACGCAAACACCTCAAAGTAATCTAGCCCAGGTTTCTGAAGAAAACCTCTAGCCACTAGTCTCACTTTGTGTTTGCCAATTGATCCATCTGGCTTAAGGTTCACCTTTAAAACCCATCTGACGCTGATGGCTTTCCTCTTTTCTGGAAGCTTTGTCAACTTCCAAGTTTTGTTTATTTAAATAGCCTCCAGTTCTTCCTTCATAGAATTCAACCATACTTTCTTCTTGAGAGCTTCTTCAATACCCACAGGTTCAGAATCTACTAACATGGCACACTGAACGACTTCTCCTTCAGAATCTACTTCAGTGTCATGCAACATGTTAAAATCTGCAAACCTACTTGGTATTTGTCTGATTCTCTGTGGCCTCTGAACTTGTTCTGAAGCTTCTCTAGAACTTGGAACAGTGCTAGCTTCTGGACCTTATCCAGAACTACTTCCTTCAGAATTAACACCTTCAGAGCTACTTCTGGAAGCTTTTCCTCCATACCCTATGTCTTAAGAGTTTTCCCTTTCAGAAATATAATCACCACCAGATTTTGGATCATCATCAGAATCTGAATTAGAATCAAATCCACTATCAGAATCTCCCTGAGATTCCGACTTATCTTCAGAGTCTTCAGAATCAGATTCATCTTCTGACTCTGACTCGTCTTCAGAACTTTTTGAAGAATCTTCAGGAACTAACTCTGGTGTTGGCACTACACCAGAATCTGATTGAGACTTGTTCCAATCCCATGTTTCTGACTCTTTCACAATAACGTCTCTGCTGATTTCAACTTTGTTAGTTTCTGAACAATAAAGCTTATAAGCACTTGTACTGTGGTACCCCACCAGTAACATTACTTTGCTTCTATCATTCAGTTTCTGTCTTCTAGCTTCTGGAACGTGTTTGTAACATACAGAACCAAACACCTTCAGATGGATAACACTTTTCTTATCTCCCGTCCACTTTTCTAAAGGAACAATTTTCTTCAGCTTCTTCGTTGGACACCTTCAGAACATATGCTGATGTGGCAACAACTTCTCCCCATAAAATGTGAGGTAGCTTCTTCTCTTTCAACATACTTCTGGACATATCAAGCAAAGCTCTGTTTCTTTTTTCAGCAAGACCATTGTGCTAAGGAGTATATGGAGAAGTAACTTCATGTTCTATTCCATTCTCCTCACAGAACTTCTGGAACTCTGTAAAGTTATACTCACCTCCACCATCCGTTCTCAGAATCTTCAACTTCTGACTACTCTACTTCTCAGCCTTCACCTTAAACTTCTGAAACTCAGTAAACACTTCATGGTTGAACTTGATAAGTGTTACCCATGTCATTCTTGTGAACTCATCCGCAAAAGACATAAAATATTTGTTTCCTCCAAGTGAAGATACTGGAAATGGTCCACACACATCAGAATATACTACTTCCAAAGCATGCTTCGCTCTGGGGGCTACTTCTGATGCAAATGACAATTTTGGTTGCTTGCCTTTCATGCATATCTCACATGACTTCTCAGGCTTCACAATCTTCGAAATGCCATGTACAAGCTTCTTAGAACTTAGATGCGCTAAGCTTCTATAGTTCAAGTGCCCCAACCTCTTGTGCCACAACTTACTGTCACCTTCAACGCCTTCTGCACTAAGACACTCTGCTTCATTTGTTTCTACATTCACCTTGAATATTTTGTTGCTTCCCTGCTCAGACTTCATAATCAACTTCTGATTGGAATCATATAACGTCAAGAGGTTGTCCTTCATAACAACTGAGAAACCTTTCTCAATGAGATGACCCATACTCATCAGATTGCTTTTAATTCAAAGAACATACCAAACATCTTTGATCATAATGTTTTTTTTTTCATTCTTCACTCCGACGCTGACATTTCCCATACCTTCTGTATCAAGATACTTATCATCAGCACATCTGATCTTTGTTCTCCTTCTGGAGTCAAAGTCTATCAGCCATTGTTTGTTCCTAGTCAAGTGGTTTGAACAACCAGTGTCCATATACCACCAATATTCTGAACACTTTCCATCAAAATTAGAAGCCATCAGTAGCACATGTTCATCATCAGAATCTCCTCTGGCTATATTTGTTTCTTCTGATTTCCTTCCTTTGTTTCTATAATCTCTAGTAAAATGGCCAAACTGTTTACAACAGTAACATTGAACCTTCTTCTTGTCATACCTTTCCTTTCCCTTCTGATATTTCTTTTCATTAGAAGTTGAGGTTTCTGACTTCTGGAATTTATCACCACGTCTATTCTGCTTTTGGTCCTTCTTAACAGAAGAAGGCTTCAGAGCTTGCTCAACTTCCCTCTTAGAAGTTCTTTCTGTCAGACGCAACTCCTGCGCTTCTAGTCTGCTTTCCAACTCTTGTATTCTCATGGTTTCCAGATTTTTAGAATGTTCAATAGAAACAACAATGTAATCAAATTGAGGAGTAAACGATCTTAGAATCTTCTCTATAATTACCTATTCAGAAAGTGTTTCTCCACAAGCTTTCATTTCATTAGTGATCAGAATCATTCTGGAGATGTACTCAGAAACTTTCTCAATGTTCTTCATGTTGAGATTCTCATATTGCTTTCGCAGGGACTGAAGCTTCACCTTCTTCACTGAGGCGTCACCACCGTAACATCTGACCAGTATATCCCATGCCTCTTTCGACGTCGTCGAATCAGCAATCTTCTCAAACACACTTTCATCCACACACTAATGAATATAGAACATAGTTTTCTGATCCTTCTTCCTCGTAGCTCTTTCTGCAGATCTCTGTTCTTCAGTAGCATCTGCTGCAACTGGAACATAATCATTGGTAACAAGATCCCGAATATCTTGAGCAACAAACAACACATGCATCTGTATCATCCATCTGTTCAAGCTTTTGCCATAAAAAACTGGAAGTTTAGTGTTCAAACTACTGCCTCCACTCATCTTAAACCTTGCCCAATCTCATATCTCACTCAGTGTTTCCCAAACCCACAGAATCAGTGTGATTCTGTTCATATTTTGTTCGAGATTCAACAGAAATCAAGAACCAAAATCAAACACACAGCTCACTTTCACTCGTGTTTCCCAGAAATTCAGAACAATCAGGAGCTCTAGATATCAATTGTTGGTGCAAGGTGATGAAATTGAGGAAGAAGAGATGAAATATAGAATGATAAAGACGACTGCTAATGATTGGTAAAGGAATTGAATAATAAATTAATGAGACTTAAGTACACCTATTTATACACAAAGATAGTAAAGATAAGAATGTCACATAAGCTCTAAAAGAGGATAAACTTTAATAGCTAAGTTTTTCTCCAAATATAGCAAATACTAAATTACCCTAAAATAAAAGGTCATTTATAAAGAATAAAAGAAAAATATGCCATCAAAATCATCAAGTTAAAGAGGAGAACCCTATAAAGTAAGTGGAACATGAATAAAGTTAGTGGAGTATGATCATAAGAAATTAATATACGTAGAAACAACATAACCATACAAAAGAAGTATCCATAAGAAGATGCTTATTAGAATGCCTGCTCAACTTTATAAATAAGTGGGAATATAAAATTAATTGATCATGAAAGTAAAGCAAAGTGAACAAATTAGAGACAAACAAATATTCAAAACTTTAAACCAAAATGATACAATATTATTAATAGCTTGAAAAGAGAAACATATGCATAATTCTCTCAAAACATGTATACATGCTCTTGAACTTTTGAGTCTTTGTTCTTTTCATTAAGTCAAATGTTTTTATGCTTTCTATGATATATTGTTGCACGATGTGAAAACTAATCACAGCATTAGATGCTATTCTCACTATGTTAATGGATATAATTGTTAGTTATCTATGTTGAAGATAGGAACAAATGGTAGTTAGCATAGTGAGAAAGAGATTCTGCTTACAAAAGTTTCTCGATGTTCTCATATACTTAGTTCATGCATTATATAAGTGCATGCTGTGAATAAGTTTTTGTATGAAAAGCTTTAGCTTTAGAGAGAGTAGTGAGGGAGAAAAGAGATGGGAAATAGCATAGTAACATATAACAAATACAAAAGTTTCTTGTTCTTTATCAAAAAATACAAGTTGACTGAACTCGTTCCGCCTCAGGATCTTCAAGAGGTTTTCTCCAAGTTTGCCGGAGGAGGATCATACATGTCGACCGAGCAATTGCATCGGTTTCTTGTCGAGCATCAAGGCGAAGAGAGTTTCACCTTATCGGATTCGGAGAAAATTATCGACAGGATTTTGCAACTGAGAAGGACACATATGGAAACGATTCATGTTGATCAAAGTAGAGAAAGGGAAATCACCCTTGATGATATCTTTCGATTTTTGCTCCTACATGATTTCAACGGTCCTTACAAAAATGAGGTAATTACTTAAGTTGAAACCTAAATAGTCCAATCTTCATATGATGATTTAAATTTCCTTATGATTTAATTGGCCTTACTTAGCTAACAAGAAAGTGAAAATAAATTTACAGGTACATCATGATATGAATGCTCCATTGTCACATTATTTCATATATACAGGACACAATTCCTATCTTACTGGAAATCAATTAAGCAGTGATTGCAGTGAAGAGCCAATCATAAAGGCGCTACAACGAGGCGTGCGTGTTATCGAACTCGATTTATGGCCAACTTCTAATAAAGATGATATTAAAGTTGATCATGGATGGTACTATCATTTTGACTAAATTGTTTACATGATCTTAATCATTTCAATTTTCAACACAAAATTTATTTGATTTTTGTCACTTTTCCACATGATTTCAACACAGGACACTTACAAATCCTGTCTCACCTATCAAATGTTTGGAGTCTATAAAGAAATATGGTTTTGTATCATCTGAATATCCAGTGATCATAACTATAGAAGATCATCTTACTGAAGAACTTCGAGCGAAATTCGCAGAAGTATGCAATAGACTATGCTGTGATTCTCTCTTACTTTTCCTTTTTAATCTCAATTTTTATTATTTTTTCTTTTTATCTTATGCTAGATGGCAACTCAAATATTTGGAGAAATGCTTTATTATCCTCAAGCAGAATGTTTAAACTTAACAGAATTCCCTTCACCGGAATCATTGAAAAACCGAGTTATTATATCAACCAAACCTCCTAAAGAACGCTTTGAGTCCAACCGGATCAAGGACAACGGCAACTATCCTAATCTAGATGGAAGTAGTGAGTCATCAGATGACGAATCATCGGATTCCGCGAATGAAGTGGAAAGTAAGAGCCCGGTGAGAAATGCTAGCAATACATTCCTTCATGCTAATAGTACTATTAACAAACTTTGCATGATTATGTTACAATATTTTTAATGTTTATTCATCAGAATGGACACGATCGCGACGAGGGAGAAACGAGTTCCTGTGAATGTGATCAAAGATTATTTCAAGAGTGTTCACCTGATTACAAAAGTATAATCACCATTCACAATAAGAAACTCAAGGGTAGCTTGAAAGATAAATTGAAAACTGATGGTGAACTTAGACGGTTAAGTTGGAGCGAAACAATGTTAGAAAAGGCTTCAGAATCTCATGCAACAGACATCATTAGGTATGTGATTCACTAGTAGAAAAGTTTGATCAGGTTTTAGTATCTAAAAATGTCCTATGGTTTATCTTATTCAAACTGTTAATTTTTCAGGTTCACACAGAAAAATATCCTCAGGGTATATCCAAGGGCGACACGTGTTAAATCGTCAAATTTCAAACCATATCTTGGGTGGATGTATGGAGCTCAGATGGTTGCATTCAATATGCAGGTTAGCAAGACAATTTGTGAGTAATATCAATAACACTGCAGATTCAAGACGTGTCTGGCGTCTAATACAGACATTTGTTGACATTCAATTGCTTCACTTGCAAGTTACTATTTTTTTTTCTCTATAGGGGCTTGGAAAATCTCTCTGGTTGATGCAGGGGATGTTCAGAGCAAATGGAGGATGTGGTTATGTAAAGAAACCTGAAATTCTAATGCAGAAACTTCACTGTGACCATGAGTTTGATCCAACAAGAATAATGCCACTAAAGAAGACATTAAAAGTATGCATACCACATAGTTTATCAATACTATAAGATAAACTCATTTGTTTGGTGATATCTTAATCCTGTGTAAATTAGCGGTAGTTTAACCATCATAAAATAAAATAGAGATACTATTTAATCACAATTTAACCGTGATAAATATTTAATGAGACTCTATTTTAGCCACGTTGTAACATTAATAAATTTTAGTCCTTATACAGTAGTCTGTCTTGCATGCCCTCAAAGCTAGCTCTGATACTGTATCATATTTCAATACTACAAAATAAACTCATTTGTTTGGTGATATCTTAATCTTATTTTGTCATGATCAATAACAGGTGAAAATTTACATGGGACATGGATGGAGCTTAGATTTCAGTCCTACACACTTTGATATGTTCTCTCCACCAGACTTTTACATAGAGGTTGGTATTGTTGGTATGCCTCGTGATATTACAAAGAAAAAAACTAAAGTGATCATGGACAATTGGTTTCCTGTGTGGAATGAAGAGTTTGAGTTCCCTTTGACTGTTCCAGAGATTGCTTTACTTCAGATACAAGTAAAAGACAAAGATCCAACAGGAAAAGATGATTTTGCTGGTCAAACATGTTTGCCAGTGTCAGAGTTAAGATTTGGATTTAGATCAGTCCCTTTGTTTAATGAAAAGGGAGAACAATTTAAATCTGTAAAGTTGCTAATGAGCTTTCAATTTGAATGAATTGTATAAGTAATTAAATCTTTTAGGATATGTACATCATTCTTCTTTATAATTATTTCGTACTCAGAAAATCAATAATAGGTTGATGGTGACCATGGTAGTCAAACTTCTCGTGCGAAGGTGTCTGTTCTCCGGTGATTGGAAAAGTACCTGCAAAAGTTTAACATTTCAGCACTCCAATGTTTAAGTTAGTTTCATGATAAAGGAGAAGATTGCAAGTATGATTAGAATAATGTTGAGTGTGACTCAGAATCACACTTATATAGATGAGACAATTATACCTGTCCCCGACTTGTCCAACGTGGAGTGCGGGAGATTGTTGGATGTAGATCAATGGTCATATGGAGTGCAGGCCATGCACCTGTAGGGTATCTTAGAATGAGTGTCCACCTATTAGTTAGTGGTTGACGAGCTCTTTTTTGATTAAAATACTTATGAATTGTGTTGGTTTTAATGGGTCTTTGACCGACCTGGATTTGGATCCTCTCATGCTCTTTTGGCCATCTCCTCTTCTTTTTTTAATGTAATGGTTAAATGTCACACAAAGAAAAACAATAGTACAAATGAGAGAGATAAAGGTGAACCAATAGTTGAGATATGAGCATGATAGAAACGTGAGAGAAAGAGTACGAGAAGATCTAAATTCGGCCGACCCAAAACACAATGAAACACATATACGTTACAAGTATCAAATGCGATACTTATCTAATGCGATGATACGTAAGTCATTGAAAAATTTAGGATACGATATGTATAAGACATAAAGAAAAAAAATTAAAATTAACCATTAATTAAATCAATGTCCAACAAAAATTGTATTTAGGCACTAGACAAATTGGCGCATGCTCTCAAAATTTATTTAGGCGTCAGATCAATTGGCACATGCATATAGCTAACAAAATAAAAATAATACACATACATATAACAGATATACATAGGTGCCAATGGAACTCACACATGCATATAACACCCATACATAGACGTCAATTGATCTGGCGTAAGGTATTTGCTGAGAATTATTTTTTGTTTGAAACATAGTTAATTTGTGTTAGTGTGTGAGACACTTTTAGTGAGGAGAGAAAGAGAGAATAATAAAGGAAATAAGGATTTGTATTATTGGATTCTATAAATAATGATACAGACTATGACTATTTATATACAACTCTAATTGGGCTTGAGTCTATATAACTTGGATTATATTTAAATATAAAATCTAATCAAATCTAATATTTTAACAAATCTAATTTAATATTTCAACACGTCCCCGTAATCCAAATTGTCAAACATAATCCAAAAATAGACAATCTAAACTATTCCTAATTTCTTTCTCAAATTTAAGAACCTGTCGATCTTCAATCTTTTGGTGAAAATATCGGCCAACTGTGCTTCACTCGAGCAATGTCTTACTTCAAGTTCACCTCGATTTACCTTTTTCCTCAAGAAGTGAAACATTGCTTCGATATGTTTACTTCCTCCATGCAGAACTGGTTTCTTCGTCAGATTTATGGCTGACTTGTTGTCGATTTGCAGCATGTAACACTCCAATTCTACCCGACAATTATATAAAATCATAATTACAAAAATTCAACAGCCGAATCAGGATGCTACAAATTTAACTTTAAAACAACGACATTCATTACAGATACATAACACATTAACTTGGATGAACCAACAACAACATAAATTAATCTTTTTAAAAATCAACAACTTTCATAACTTCGCAGCGAAATCAAATATTTAACTTAAAAGAATATAACATCTTTATCCAACTGAAACAACTTAAAATAATAAGTATTTAACGAACAACAACTTAAGGTTCAATCAACTGAAATAATAACAACAATAAAACATCAAGCGTTCATCCCCCTCCCCCCCCTCGAGTGTTACGTATCAGAGCAATGACACTGACTCGAACTACTGAAGGTAAATCGCCTTCACTCTGGATTACCTGCACGTTACCAACATCGAGGTGATATTCAAACAGAAGGGGTGAGATATTGAACAATATAATTAGATGTATGATAATATTACATTAAAATTAATTTATGCCAAATCATCACTTCACAACTTTAAACAACGTCAACCACAATGAAAACATCAACGAAACATAATAAATGATTTACCAACACAACAACTCAATATGCAACGTGAAATGCAACTTGTTACTATGCACGTGCATGTGGTACCAGCGGAGCAGAACTCCCAACTTAAAAATGGAGCAGAACTCCCAACTTAGAAATTGCCAATTAATAGAGGCATCAACAAGACATAAGCCTTCAACTTAACATTTTGTCAATCCAGGCCAACTTGTTATGCTATGCATGCGACAACAACACAACAACAACAATTCAACCACAACTTAATAATTCAAATTAAATCAACATTGGCCATAAGGCTGCAACTTAATAATAATTCAACATTGGCCATAGGCCTACAACTTGATATTTCAACAACAACAATTAACACAACGTTAAGATATGCCTACAACTTAGTACGTCACAACAACAATAACATATCAACAATAGTAATCCGACAACAACATCAATAAGAAAACAACATTGGCCATTAACTTAACAATTTAATATCATCTACAATTCATACTGTTGTACCCCAAAATTTTCCCTCTCATGTTTCTCAAAGTCTTCCTCTTGCATGGTTGATCACAAATTCTTGCCTAAGGAAAAGGAAAATTTTTGAGTGGTGCTTTAAGGACACTTAGATTTGCATTCTGAAAGATCCTTCGATTGGTGTTCTGAAGGAGCCTTTCGATTGGCATTCTAGACAAGCGCTTCGATTTGCATTCTGAAAGATCCTTCGATTGGTGTTCTGAAGGAGCCTTTCGATTGGCATTCTGGACAAGCCTTTCGATTGACATTATGGACAAGTACTTCGATTGGCATTATAACAGTGTCCTTCGATTGGAATTCCAAAAAGGTACATTCGAAGAAGCTTTCAAAGGGTCCATTCGAAGAAGCTTTCAAAGAGCATTCGAAGGAGGCCATCAGCCCATTCGAAAGGGAGCATTCGAAGGAGGCCATCAACCCATTCGAAGGGGAGCGTTCGAAGGCCAGTTGCATGGCATTTAAAATTCAAAAAGGGACAGAATCCCATGTGTTTAGCCAACGTTACAAACTCTTATTCATGGCTTTCAAACACATAATTAACGTTACAAATCCTCACTCATGGCTGTCAAACACATAATCAAAGTCATTTAAACCTTTGTCTTCCTGTCCCCTCCACCCCCTCTATATAAAGAAATCAAAAATGTTGCAAAGACAGACACGAAAATATATACAGAAAAATAGAAAACTTGGAGAGACGCTGCCCAGAATTTTCCAAGCCAAAGCTGCCACCCAGCGAACACCTCCACCCTCAGAACTACAGATCGAAGCACTTCTGTTTGGTAAAAGAAAAATTTAATCTCAAACTCATTTTTAAATTCATTTTGATTGCATATTCATATTATTACTGCTGTTTGTCAATGATTTAATGTGCTACATATAAGCTACATCGCAGAGTTGAGATTGTGCCATTGCTTGGGCACAATCTGAGTTTCTCCTTCGAATCCCAGGATAAAATAAACCCAAACCCAGATTCAGCAGGTGCGAATAGGGAGGAGATTCGAACCAAGGGGGTAAAATCCCCCTGGACCTTTAACATGTGTTTCGTTTCTTGCAGGAAATACATTCTCAGATTCCTGTTCAGAGCTTCGAAGCTCAACAATCTAGTTTCGAACTGGACCCAGGATTTCCAGATCGAAGGATGACATGTCCAGATCGAACACTCTCAGAGTGCAGCCCCTCATGCACCTTCGATCCAAACTCTTCACTGGGTCGAAAGACAGCCTGCACCTCTTTCGACCCAGACCTCCAGAATTATATTTTTTTTCTTGTTTTGCTGCCTGGCCCATTTGTACTTTGTTTACTTTGTTTTTGTTTATTTCTTTTAGTTTTTTTTTAATCAACACAAAAATCATAAAAAAATAAATAACTTAGAATTAGGATTTAATTTAGCTAATCATTTTAACTTATTTTCTTCAATTTTTAAAATCAGTAGATTTAGGATTTATTTGAATTCAATCATTTTCATAAACAAAAATATAAAAAATATTAGGTTTGTTTTAGAGTAAATTTTAATCAGTATTTTTAATTAATTAAATTTGACTTAACTGAATATTTAGCATTTTCTCAAAAAATAAAATAAAACAACAAAAAAAGAGTTCTTATTCTTAGGATTTTCTAGATTCACACGCGTTTATTTTATTGTAACTGCTTATTGGTTTATAATAGCTTAACTAAGGCTTTTTACGCTTTACTATTTTTATTCCCCCAATTTTTGGACATGTAAATAATCCCTCTCCCCGAAGCCTTGTAATAGTGTAGTATTTACAGTTTCTGCACTTTAAATTCATGTACATATATTAACTGCTTAGATGTATGCTAACTAGGATTGTATGACAAGATCTAAAAACAAATGGTAAAACACCTAAAAATACAAAGACGATATAAACTGAAAATTGACACACTTGCACATGCCACTCCTAGGGTACACCTCATTTGGTTGCCTCAAATATGGTCATTAAGTATAAGATGTTTTAGAGGTCGTCCTTTTGTCCCAAGATCATAAGTTGCCTCGAAATGGTTGCCTCGATAAAAATGATCTAAGACATTAGGATTACCACTAAAGTGTCCTAACATTGCTTTAGTGACCACACGTCCCTTAAATCGAATTGACCCGAAAACTCCAACGACGATGCTACCTACTCCTCAATAGTGGGATAGCATTGTCTAAAGGACTTTAGCACAATTTAATTCCTTTTTGAGTAGGTAGAGGTTCTTAAGTACTTGCTCCTTTTAAAAATAAAACAAAAACTTTTCGCACTTACACTCTCTTCAAAAACAAAACTCTTTTTCAAAACCCACAAACACAAAGAAAAGAAAACTTTTGAAAACATAGTGAGCAAGTACCTAAGAGCCCGTGGATAACCACGAATAGAAAGG